GCTATTCAATTTGCCCAGCTACACGCTACACACACATACACATACAATGGCGGTAATTATTTGAGTTGAATGTAAAATTTTGTGGATTATTGCATGCATTTGCGGAGTATTTAAAATAATTCTACGAATTTTATATACTCCGTTTAAGCCACAAAATTTAAATGGGTTTGCCTCTGCAGTCGGGGGCTTTAGAATATTTGTAGCATACTTTTGCGCGCTCATGCACACTAAACCAATGCCCCTCAACTAGTAAGCGGCACTCGCACGCTATGAAATCAACTCAACAACATGTTCAGCTCCGGCTAAGCCCCCATGGAAATTTACTCGGAGCCACACAACAAAAAAAAAAAAAAAAAAAAAAAAAAAAAGAGAAAAGAAAAGAAAAGAGAAAAATAAAAATTATAATAAGTAGTAGAGCGGCGATGGCAACGATAAAAAGTGTTGAGCGCTGTCGTTCATATGCAATGGAAACAAAGCAACAAAACCGCAAACAGGCAAACCCCTAACCCCACCCATTCGCTGCAGCAGCAGTGCAGCTGGCCAGCCAAGCAGCCAAACCAGCCACCATCAGCCACCAGCAGCTGTTGCCACCAAAGACAATGCCAGCGCATGCATCCCTTGCTGAAATGCAGCCAACGAAAATGCTTGGCATTAAGGGTATGCCAAGCGAGAGCTGGCCAACAGAACTGAGAAAAGTAGATGGGACGCATGTGCACAGTTATTGAATATGAAATACCCTGTAATTATAGAAATTATAATTTGGGTCCTCAAGCATGAATTACTTGAAATGTCGTTGGTTTCACTTTTATGAAATTGTATTTATTTAGGAAAATGTTCTATTCCAATAATTAATAATCAAATTGAACATTTTCAAAGATTTTCTAAAAATAAATAATATATATAAATTTGAAATTCAAATTATGTGCTTGACGAGAGTCTCGGCGAAAGAGAGAAAGTAGCTCTGATAGAGGGTTTATGGGACTGTGTTTATTGATATATAATTGGTTTTTATTTATTATTTATTTAACGGGGTATATTTTGGTTTTCTTAAAATGTGAGTAGCAGACAGAAGGAGGCGGGGCAGACACCATAAATAGCTAAATCGAACCACGTTTACGTATGTGTAAAAGCCTTGATTTGCTTCACTATTTCTAGAAGATTTCCACAATTGCTTTACAAAAATTGTACAATAAAAATATAGAAAAAAAAAAAAAAAAAAAATTATAAAAAAATATAATACATTTAATTGAAAATATATTGCATATTTATTATAAATTTAATCTAAATATACACATATCAATATTTTTCTTGAACTGAAAACTTAAAAGATTTGAGTTCCTTAAACATTCAGGCTAAAAGCCATATACAATTTGAGAATATGAAAAACTTGCCGTCATCAAATTCAATTCGCCAGACTGATATAATAATAAAAGAGCACAGCAAATACATTTACAAGTCGAAAGGTTGCAGTGGATTGGATTGGATTGGATTGAAGGCAATGCGAATGCAGCAGCCGAGCTGGCCTGGCTTAGTCACAGCAGTTGCAGTTGCAACTTTGGTTACGGTTTGTTGCTTTGCTGCACGGCAGTGTCGAATGCCGTTGGCTTATAAAATATTTAAATATTTTGTGGCAATGGCCGCAACATATTTGCACAGTGCCGCTCCAGAGTTGGCTAAGAAAGCTGCTGGGCGCACTTCACTAAAGTTCAAGTGGCGACGCCTCGGCGTATGCTATTAATATTGTGCGACAGCTGTTGGACTGTTTAAATATTTATGCAATACGCAAAAAGTATGGCGACAACGCGGCTTATCAGCCCGAGGGAGCGCAGAGAGAGAGTGAAAGAGAGAGAGACAAAGAGACAAGGATGATGGGCAAGCGTTGTCATTGTCATTGGTTCCGCAGTTGCCGCTTGATATGCTAATATGGTTATGGTTACGGCTGCCGCTGCCGCTGCTGATGCTGATGCTGATGCTGCTTCTATTCTTTGCGGTTGTCCTTGTCGTTGGCTGAGAAAATTTCATTATGCCAATTACTTGCATCAAAGCTGCTGGGATAATTGACTTTGCTTAGCGGCTGGCAGTGTTAGAGTCAAGACCTTCGCAGACACCATTCTGCTCAGTTTAAAGCGCTTGCATAAGACGCCTTTGTACATTAGTTGTCCTCCGTGTGTGTGTGTGCTGGTGTGTGTGGCCCCATTTGGAAGCATAAAATAATTAAACTTAATTGACAGTTTTTGGGCAACACCTTTAGTCCCAGCCTTGTGCATCCTTTAATCTAATGATCTCAACTTTGCCAGCAAGTGCCTGGTTAGCTTTTAGTAAAGTTGGGCGATAATTTGAACTATATTCAACAACTTGCATTAGCTTCACTCTTAAAATAAACTATAAGCTATGCAGTCTCTGAGCCTTTAGTTAGATTTTGAAAAAAAGCTTTCAATGGAATTTTTTATATATAAATGTATGTAAAGCAATAAAAAGAGTAAAATAACAATTCAAATAAAATTAAAAAAATATATACCAAAATGATTATTATTTAATATATGCAAAACAAATATTGTAACAAAAATATTTAAAAATTATTTATTCATA